CGGCGTACCCTGTGGATTCTATACCGGCGTCTCCGACATGATGGCTGCCTCAACATGTTGCGATGTTGGTTGAGGGTTTGAGATACAGGGCGTTTGGTGAAGTGCCATAATTCTGAACACTTGGAGGATCATGGGACTGAGAAAGTCAAGACATACGTACCTTAAGTAGGGTTCTAAGTGAAGTGACACGTACAGCTATCCTTAATTCATAACCCTCGTTACTCAGTCCCCTCATCCTTTAAGTAACCTTCCCCCCATACCTGTTGTTGGTGCCCTATTCCCTGGGCCGACCTCCGGAGAATCGTCTTTAAGTTTGTTACGCTGAGGCTTTCGAGGTAAGCACTCTTGAACCCTAAGCCATAGACGTCCATAGTTTTATAAAGCAGCCTAAACCCGAAATCTCGACGCTGCGCCTGAAATTTCATTGAAGCCTAAACCCTATAGATCCTAAAGCCCCTAATCCCCTAAACTAAACCCCCAAGCCCCCGAAGCCGCTATGTAAACCCTAAGCCCCAAATCCTCAAGCCTAAATCCGAAGCTCGGGTTCGAAAGGCCAGCCTTTTCGAAGTGTTCTTTAAATTCAGAGCTGCGGGATCCGCCCCAAAACCCTGACCCTCCCCCCCAAAAAAAAGAAAAAGAACAAAAGGGAGCCATGGCGGCTTCGTCATGGCTTTGCCACTGCTTTCAGGTTTCATTATTAATATATTGTGAGTTTTATTATTATGATGATTGTTGTTTGATCAGGTCTTCAGGTTTCTTAGGTGCGGGCTTCGGCCCAGAATTGCTATTCAGTATGCTATACCCTACGGCTACAGCTGCGCAAGGTCTTCCGGGTTTACGGCCTCCAAACGTTGCGCATTGCAATCTCCTGCTGCGGCTGCTCATGATTCAACTGAGTTGACTGTAGGACGGTTTTTAGGCGCCATTTGCCGAATGTGTGATTCCGAGAATAGAAGCTTCATGCAGAAGGGGATACTTTCTCTAACTTAATGGGGCTGTAGGATTTAGGGTTTAGGGTGTAGGGTAGGGGCCAATAAATAAAAGGCCCCAAGCCAAGGACTGAACGTAACCTACTGGATAGGTAGCTGCTTGGAAGGAAGGGTGGAGTTCCTTGGGGTCTCTTCTTGCCTCCCTGAAGCACGTGCAGGCTCGCAGCGTCCACGACTCCTAAACCCTCCGAAACCCTCAACTTGCCAGAATTCTAATCTTCCAAAGCTCTATACATAGTGCCAATGTCAGCTGAGCCCTCGCCCTGAAAATCCCAAGCCCGAATCTTCCTCTAAGCCCTAATTCAGGCCATATGAGCCCTGCCAGAAACCCCCGAAGCATCATGACTCCCCGGCATGAGCATCTGCTCGGGCTGCTTGCGACGGCTGGAGGATCACTAACCTTCGTGGTGGTGGTTGTGGCAATCGAGTGGCTGGAGCGAGAACACTGGCCTGCCCTGGCAATGCTTGGCCTCGCCGCTTGGTCTCTGAGCGCTTGATTTTTAATGAGCCAGTCCAGTAGTCGTGATTCGTGTTTGTTTTAACTACTCATTCTCAACACACACGCACAGAGATGTTTGTATACATATGTGTGTGTATATATATATGTATATAGATATATATGTACATATATATATATCTCTCTCTCTCTCTCTCTGCTTGTGTACGTATGTGTGTGTATGTATGTATGTATGTATGTATGTATGTATGTATGTATGTGTGTGTGTATATATATATGTGTGTGTGTTTGTGCATATTACAAGCATATGCATACATATGGACACAGTTATTTCTTTACGTGCGTATGTATCTCTGAGCTGGGCAACTAAGGCCAACTGTGTTGTTTCCATCGGTTTGCTGGCCTTGGTGCGACAACGAAAAACTCAGTGGCCGACCAAGCCCAGCCAGCGGGTTTGGCTGTTTGCCAGGGGCATTTCCAGCGTTTTCGCACTGGCATTCGCAGTGTTGGCTACTTTCTTCGACTGCCCAGCAGGTGATACGATGGCAATCTCGAGCACCAACGTCTTCGCATCGGCTGTGTTGGGATGCTTCTTAGTAGCCAGCAATTGAAGCCTTTACCTCCACAGTACTCGAGTCTAGTGTGCGCAGGGCACAGACGATCACATAAGCATAAACTACTGAACTCTCTCCTCGTATAGGGGTCGTGAATTCATAGGCACGCGTATTCCTCCCCTTCTATGTGCTTCTGTGCCTGAGCCTGCACGTTTTATCAACTTGGACCCAATGAGCGATGAATTGTCCGGGCCCAACAGCCCTAAACCCGAACGCACTACCCTGCAAATAATCCCCTAACCCGAACTCCCAAACCTTAAAACCTAAGCATTAAACCCTGAATATCAACCTGTAAACCCGAACTCCCAAAGGCCTAAATCCCCAGGCTTGCTGTTCGGCGAAGCCTTCGGGAAGCTGAAGGTGGCTTCCGTGTTCGTCACCACCTTTGGGGCAGTGCTGGTCGCGAAGCCAGAGCGGCCGAGATCGATGTTGGCATTTTTGGTTTTGGGCCGCGGGCCTTCCAACCCCAGCCTTCCAACCCCAGGTAGTTTTATCATGTGTATTATATATATATATATATACAGTATGTATGTGTATACGTACATATATGTATGCATACAATATATGGGTTTGTTTTGTATATGTAGGTTCTTTGAGGTGTTCTTGTATGCTATAGCATGACCCGATCTGTCTATCTATCTGTCATCATCTAACTATCTACCCATCTATCTATCTAGGACATAGCAGCACAGGCATCGGATACAGTGTCACACATCGGTTTAATTGTCATGACGTCAGAGAAACTTCTGTGGTTTCAGTCAGTCGAAAATCTGCGACGCAATACTTAGAGAGCCCAAGAGAATATAGCTTGAGCCATAAGGGGCTTAACTTCACCAAGCTCTTTGACGTACATTCCCTAAATAAGGGTGTTCGGCTCTCTGGGAAGGTTTATCTTCACCACTGTGACGGAGCAGCCCTACCTCGGCCTCTTGCCAAGAAGACGTAGGAAAACTTGCAAGAGATCGCAGGAACCTAAACTGCAAATACACCTCAACCCCACCACCTCAACCCTGAATGCTATGCAAGAGCATTCCTTGCAGACCATTCGATGCTGATTAAGCGCCCATCTCGCCAAGTCAACCCAAACCTGCGTTTTCGGTGTAGAGTTGAGAGTTTAGAGTTTATAGGGTTCAGAGTTTAGTAAGGAGGATTAGGGTTTAGGGCCTAGGGTTCCGGGGCTTAGATGGACCCTGGTGTCGGACATGAGTTGGCGGGCTGGCCCCGTTCCTTCGCTGCGTCGGCTCCCGGTGAAGGGTTTAGGGTTTAGGATCATAGTCTAGGGTTTAGGGGAGATATGTTCACAGGAATATTTGCCCGAAATTCCCTGAGCCTGTAAATATCTATAACCCTCAAGAGCGTGGCCCCTTCTCCCTTGCACTTGGAAGCAGCCTGAGTTTCGAACCTTGCGTCCGGAAACCCGAAACGCTGCGTGAAGTCCGATGTGAAGTGCAGCGTATACATGTCCGTGATGGTGCAACCGTTGTGCTGTGGCAAGAAAGCCCTTTCAATTCGTAATCAAACTTCACTTTAGCAAAGCTTTCAGCTGAGGCTACATGTTTGCTGCTGCGTCCGGATTGGGACTAAGTGGCATCATTGTGTGCTGCAGAAAGCTCGGGAACGAGGTGCCTATTTTTGCGTGCGTGTTATGGAGCTTTTGAAAAGGGGATCCTGGGTCCCTTCTCGGGATTTTACAACACTAAGGGCTTTGCGATCAAGGACTCTGTTTGTGGGTTTCAGGATCTGGGGCTTATAGAGTTCAGTTTCGGGTTTACCCATAGGCCCCTATGTAGTTCTTTTTTATGGTGCATATTTAGCATCCTGTAAGGTAATCCCAAAAAGGAACTACTTAGGGCCCTATGGGTAGAGTTAGGCAGGACAATTCCTGAGCTTGCGTGGCCTAAGGTTCGTTTCATAGGCCATAAGGTCGACAGCCTCGTGAATCTTTCGTGTTTAGAGAGATGTCTATGCTGGCTTTAGTACTGTTTACAGAGATTTGATAAGCCGTATTTTGGAAAGATTGATAAACTGGCCTTGGTAGTGTGTATCGATAAATTGGCTTTCGAGCCCTTTTGCAGAGTTCTAGAAGAGCTGAAGGCCAACATACGGCTTTCGGGTTGCTATTCCTGTGACATGCCTGCACAACCTAGCCTTTCCTCTTGTTCAGGTATCGCCACTGATCTCCGCCATTTCCTCGACGTCGCAGCGTGGTGCCTCGCTCCTTCTACTTGCTGTGCTGCCTCTGTGGGAACGGGACCTGAGCGCCTCACTGGAGAAGCTCCACCATCATGCAGGCCACTCGTCTAGTTGGCTGGACATCGTAACAGTACTTTATAAGGGTCCCTATAAATTCCAGAGGAGGATGCCCCTACCATCATGCCGGCCACTCCTGATGACTATAGGAGTAGGGCGCAGCGTCAAGATCGAACATGATGATCTCTGAATCCGATAACGGTATGTGTAGTCCTAGTTCTGAACACGAAGCTCTCCGAAAGATCGCAATCACCATGCAGTGTTTCATTTTTTGTTTTTTGGGGGGATAGGTGACACATCTTGTCAACTATTCACATTTGAGGCTGGGCTGTTCTCTGGATCCTCGGCGTGGCCATCGTGCTGGCCGTTCAAGTCACTCTCTTGAGCTTGGGCTCTTCCATGGCGCCGGCAGGCGCCTCTGGAGTCGTCGTGACATGCGGAGACATCTTCTTCGGATATATCGGGCAAATCTTGGTGTTTGGCATCCTGCCCGATGCAGTGACACTAGCAGGAGTGGTTCTGCTGGTTGGCTCCGTGCTGATGATCATGATGGATACTGTGGCGGCGAGATCTACCCTTACGCCCTTGGAGCCCGAAGCCACGAAGGCTTCCGACGATGGCTCTTTTGGGAGAGATGCCGGTTCTCCACCAGAAGAAGGTTGCAAGGATCTACCCCCGAAGGTTGCCTGTGCTGCGTGCTTGCCCTGGTAGCTGTAGGTCTTTATGGATGACAAAACCCGAGCTACTTTGAGCTTTGGGTGGGGCCATCTTTTCAACACGCTGTCTGATTTTAGACGATTTTCCTTGTCTTGACCCGGGCATGGCTCGGACGACATCACGCTGCCAACTGCCAGGCAGTGACGACAGACTTTAGATTCTAGATAATATAGGAGCCTGACTGGTTATAAGTATTCAGTCTTATAAAATTATCATCATCGTATACGTACATGTACAGTGAACCGCAAGGCCTATTCGGATTAGTCGGGCCCCTACATTATTGCCTTCGTCCCATCGAAGAAAGGCGCCGACAGGCTGCAGTAGGTGGCTGGCTTCGCTGCCACATGTTCTGGTTTGGGTGAATGGCTTGGGTCCTGCTCGTGCTTCCGCTATTGCCGCAGCTGCTCCTGGTCCTGCTACAGCTACTGCTACTGCAGCTACTGCTACTGTTACGCCTTCTGCCACTGCCACTTCCATTGCCTCTGAGACTGCTCTTACTACTGCTCCTGCTACTAGTGCTGCTGCTTGCCAAACCTCGCAGGCCACGACCAGCAACGCTTCCGACTCCCTGACCGCCCTTCGTGCAGACGGGAGGCATCCTTATCGGTTTGAAGCTGGAGGGTTTAAGGCTTTCGGGCTTAGTGTCATCATCCTAAACCCTAAACCCTAAACCCAAAACATCTTGGGGCAGAGGTTTGCGTTGCACTTCTCTCGAGTTTCGCGTTTTGCCGTTGGGTTTTCGGATCTCAGCTTCGAGGCTTCGAAGCTCGGTGCCACTTTGCAGGGCCCCCGGGGCCTCAAGTGCGAGGCCCTGGTTTAGGGTTTGGCCCCCTAAGTAGTTCCTTCTTGGGATAACCTTATAGGATTCTAAATACAAAGCATAAAAAGGAACTACTTAGGGGCCTATGGGTAGGGTTTATAAGTTTACAGAGTCGCAGACCTGCAACTAAGTGGAAGCAGGAGCTGAATAGTAGTAGCAACTCTGGCGATCTATTCGTCTTGCTGTTTCTTCGGGCTTTCTGACTGTTGGTTATTGTGAGATATGTTACATTATACCACGACTCCTTATTCTGAATCGTAAAGCTAATGCTAAGCACTAAGCTCTAAGCCGTGGTCCCTCACCCTTCGGGAGCTCGCTATGTTGATCTCGGAACTGTAGGTTTGACGTTCCGGTTCAGGGTTGGGTTCATTAGAGTGGTTTCAAGGGCTTAGGGTTTTAGGGTGTTAGTGTGTTAGGGTTTAGGGCTTTAGGGTTTTAGGGTTTTAGGGTTTTGGGTTCAGGGCTTTAGGGTTCAGGGTTTAGGGGTTTCAACCACCAGGGTTTAGAGCTTATATAGGCCTTAGACCCCTTTTTGGCGGCATCCGAAAGTGCAAGCTGCAGACTGCTGTTCACGCCGGCTCGGCTTATGCCGTTCAGGATAGAAGTTGTCAGTGCTCCCTAACCCTTAACTCCAAACCCTAAGCCCTATACCCCTTAAATTAAACTCCATGCAAACCCTAAACCCTTTTACACCGTAAGCTCAACCCCTAAACCCTAAGAGCAGTACTTACACCCCGGAAACCTTAAAGCCCGCCGAACCCGGGAGTTGAGGTTTAGCGCAGGCCGTGGATTCAGATTCAGACATGTGAGCTTGCATGCTGTCTTTTTTTTTTTTTCCGGTGGCAGGGTTTACAGGGTTTAGGGTTTAGGGTTCAGCGTCCTACTGTGGCACTATGGAGGCCTACATAACTAGACGAGGATTTGGGGGGGTCTGGTTTCAGGTGATTAAGCAATATCTACAAGTTGCGACACCAAGCCAATGGGATCCAAAATCCCAGAGCACCGCACAAACCCCAAGCCTTAAAACCCTAAATGGGTAGTTCTCTACATGAGGTTCCCTTTTTAGGCCTCCAATATAGTACCGCACCCTGATAAACACCCTTCTAAAAAGGACCCCAAACAGGGACCCGAATTGGGAAAACTACCCTAAGAGCTATGCCCCGAATCCCAAAGTCTAGAACCCCGAAGCCGGGATCCCTTTGCCCTTAACCCAAACCTTACCCTAGGGTTTAGGGTTTATAGGGTTTAGGGCCAAGGGGTCCATGTAATTACTAGTCCTATAGTATTAGATACTTTGCCCTTAAAGTAACCCTATAGTATAAGTACTGTAGGGCCCAAGTATACTATTTGGGCACATGGACCCTTAGGGCTACACTCTAACATCTCTACGCTGAGCCTTTGTTTGGGGGCCCACGTTCAGCCTCGGGTCGGGGGCAGTTCGGTTCAGGAGTAAGATCCCTAAGGGTCCATGTACCCAAACAGTATATACTTTGGCCTTAAAGTAGTCCTTTTTTTTAGGTACTTTGGGGCCAAAGTATATACTATTTGGGTACATGGACCCTGAGGGGATCTGAGTCTATTAGTACCAGAACCCTGAACCCACTGAGACACAGACGCACGCAAGTGAGCCGAGTGCGCGTCCCAACACCGATTCCTGATCCCGAAACTTGAAGGCGCGATGAAAGCCCCTAACCCGTGACCGACGAAGCTCCATGCCCGTAATCCGCTTGAAATCCGGTTTCCGTGCTTCACCCACCAACCCATACATCAAGAAGCCACGGAAGCTAGTCCTCAAACCCGAAACCCCAATCCCCATCAACGAAACATAGGGGACTCAAAGCATGGCTGCAGTGGCACATCATAGTGAACACCCTAAAACCTCAAGGATTATACGCCCCAGAATTAAAATCAATCCACCTTTACCCCCATGGTGCGGGTAGTTGTGGCTTATGAGGAGACCCAGACGGGTTCCGCAACCAACCCCCAATGCAAGAAGCCGTATAGATCTCGCTCTGTGCTTGGGCACCTCTTCCCTACCCATAGGCCTCTAAGGCCCTAAGGAGTTCCTTTTTGGGATTACCTTATAGGATTCTAAACATAAACCATAAGAAGGAACTACTTAGGGGCCTATGGGTATCTAATAGGTTGGATGGATTCGTTGAGAACATCTTACCCTCAGCCCTAAACCCCTAAACCCCTAAACCCCTAACCCCCTATATAAACCCCTAAACCCCCAAACCTTAAACCCCTAAACCCTAAATACATGGAAGTCAGAGGTCTCCCCAGAACCATTCGCGGAAGACGTCCAATGCATCGACGTCGTACGGCTCCCGGCGCTCCCTAGGGTTTCTTTCGGCTTTAGCGTGGGGCTTCGTGTTTCCAGTTTTAGGGGTTATAGGGTTTATAGGGTTTATAGGGTGTATAGGGTTTATAGGGCTTATAGGGTTTATAGGGTTTATAGGGTTTAGGGTTTCTTTCGGATTTAGCGTGGGCCCTAAACCCTAAACCCTAATCCCTGAACCCAGTAAACCCTATGGACCCTAAAGTGGGGCTTTGTGTTTCCAGGTTTCGGGCTTTAGGGGTTTAGGGCTCAGGGGTTTAGGGGTTCAGGGGTTTAGGGGTTTAGGGTTTGGGGGGGTGGTCTATTCCCAGGTAATTTGAGGGTTTCGGGAGGGGGTTTATAGACGAGTGTGTGGTCCGGGTTGCGCTGCATGGGCTTTCGATTATCAGAGTCCCCAGCCTGCCAAAGTGGAATTTGGGGCTTCCATAGCTTATCTTTACGGAGGCCCTGTTGCAGACACAGTGGATAAGCTGTGCTACGGTCAGATCAGGGTCGTAAGAAGATACGTCTGAACACGGTAAGCCCTGCGTCTAACTCAGACCCCTCCTTCCACCTCCCTGGGATACAGCAGCGGCTCTTATACTGGTCGGAATAACGAACTCCAGGACTATTCCTCAGGGCTTCTTGTTGCGACTAGGCGGTAACATATCCAAAATGCTATGATAAGTAGCAAGGCCCCTATATTGCTTGATTGCTTTGTCTCGCCATTGGCTTCGAAACTTCCTCCCTGAGAGGGTTTAGGGATTTTGGAGGGTTTGGGTCCGAGGGGAAGGGGTTTAGGGTTAAGAGGTTTAAGATTTTAGGGGACACCTTAAACTTAGACCCGTCGTCCACTCCATGTCTTCTGAGGTGGAGACCCTGCTTCCGGGACTACAGTCCTAAACCCTAACTAATTAACCCCTCAACTCCTACACCCCAGACCCTCAACCCTACACTCCAAAGCCCCAAACCCTAAACCCCCAAACCCTAAACCCCAGGCCCTCAACCCCAAACCCCAAGGCCCCTAAGGTGATGACCGTAACCTCATAGTCCTGTCGTTTCCACTCCTTACTCGACTCCATCTTGAGCTCCGATAGTAAAACCCTTTGGCGCAAAGACCACGCTCGCCCGGTTTAAGGTTTAGGGTTTAGGGTTTAGTTTGGGGTTTAGGGCTTTAGGGTTCAGGGTAGGGCCTATGCAAGGTTAGTCACACTTTTGTGCTTCCTATTCTTACGGCTTTCAGGGTTTAGGGTTGACTTTCCGTTTATGTTCGAGTGCAGCGAAAGCCCTGGAGACTGTCATGGCCCATGCTCTTCGCATGGCAGGTTTGGAAACAGAAGCGAGTCTAACATCGACCATAGGCATCAGTAGGATCCCAGAATGAGGACGCCTTCTACATGTGTCGTTAGGTAGCCATTAGGTATCGCTAATAAGTATACAACACAGACAGAATCCGTCAAAGACATTATGCAACCCCATTAGAATGCCCTGTACATGTGCAAAGCCCTATAGAGTCCTTATTGGAACCCTTTCCAAGCAACCCTGAAACCCAAACCCCTGACAAGCAACCCTTGCAATCCGCGGCTTCCTCGAGGAGCATCCGGGGGCCGGGGAGGCTTCGCGAGCATTTTGGGATGGTTTTCAGGGGTTCGATAGGGTTTAGGTTTTAGGGTTTAGGGTTTAAAATAAGTTTATAAGGGAGGTTCGATAGGTTTTCTGGAACTTGAGGGTTTTTAGGACATTCAGGGTTCACGGTATACGGGTTCTATAAGGTTTTTTGGGGATCCTTTGCAAGACTCCCCAAACCCCGAACCACCCAAAAAAACCTGTTTCAGGCTTCTATTTTTACGGGTT